GAAGAGTTTGGGAGGAGGAGGGGAGATAGCCACATCTCACCTGGGAATGTCCAAAGTGTAAGGTGTAAAGCGAACACACGTACCCCTACCCCCTCCCCCTCCCCCTCCCCCACCCCTCTCCTCTTCCCTCTTGACTCATTAGAAGCGCATTCAGACCATTCAGCATTGAGTGATTGCCGTTGTTGGCCGGCGCTGTGTTGCAGGTAATTGCCGGGCCATCTAATATGCACTTGGCCCGGTAGTCAGTCATTCTGTCAGCCAGTCAGTCAGTCAGTCACTCAGTTAAGTCCATTCCATTCCATTCCAGTCCAGTCCAGTCAATCATTTGCCTCTGGCTACTCAAATTCATATTCATATTCATTAGAAGCGAACGAAAGCCCCATTGGAATTTGCTCGTAAGTGAAAAAGAGCGGGTGCGGATAATTCGCTTTCAACAATATTTTCATATATAATATATATATTTATATAAAATTCAATTAGTATTAGCATTTTTAAAACATTCTCATTTCAAGAGAGCGATAAATTTGCATAAATTCTATTTGGCATTTAAATTGTTGATTATTATACGATGAAAAAGCAGAGGGGAAAGTGGGGAGCGGCACTTGACTGGCAGTTAACACGTGTTGCAATCTCAATTATCCAGGGGCGTGTAAAGTTTGCTCTCCAGGGGTTATATATTATATTTTACAAAAACACTTCAAATAGGAGTCACTACTTGATTTTACACGAAATAAATCACATTGATGTTATTGAAACGCTTGTCGAGTAATTTCTGTTCGAATTTTGGTCAGGGTCTGTTCCAGTTTTTCTCATTTTGGCATGCAAATTTTCGTGGTTGCGTATACGCAACGTGTTCTCACCATATTTTTTTTTATGGAGCGACTCAAACTGCAAGTCAGAAAGTCACATAGACATGCATATGAATTTTTGGTGCGTGGTCTTTGTAATTGAAAAAAAAAAAAAAAAACAAAAAAAGTGGATGGCTAAAAGGAAAAACCAAATTGAAAAATGCTTTTCAAGCGGCGCTTTTGAAGCGGCAGCAGCGACCTTGTGCCGCTTGCCACTTGCCCCTTTTCGTGGCTCCTTTCTGGACTCCCTGCCTTTTTGCAGCATCATGCCAACTAATTTTCCAAATGACGCAAGTTAATTGCGTCGGGCCCAGCCTTTGTCAAAGGTGAAAAATGCCCAGACTAGAAAAGAGGGGAGAAAGAATGGCCACAAAGTAGCAAAGGGGCAGACACAAAGCCAAGGCGCATTCATTAAGCCAAATCATATTAAGTAAATATGTCGAGCAGCCGATGGAGGTAAGAGCACAGCGAGAAAATGCGTTTTTAATCGAATTGTTCTATAAGTGATTTTAAACCATTTTGGTCTATTCAAACCGTATTACCAAATTGCAAAGCAAAGTTTGATTAGAGAGCTTCCTAATTCAATGGATAACTACTTTAATCTATAATATCTTTTATACAATTTCAGCTATGGCTGAGATCCTATGCTTAAAACCTTTTAAAAAATATGAAAAATGTATGGTAAAACTGCAACTATTGCTCATGGTGTCTCGCATAAAATCTCCTAAAAATATTGTAGTAAGAAATACCCTATCCTTAACCAAATTTCTCTAGGTGTAGGATCTATGGGGCGCCTGTCACGGCTACCGCTGGCCACTCCCTGCCTTCAAGACCTCTGGCGCCTTCTGGCCAAGTGGAGAAAGAGGTTGGGAGAACCACAAACAAATTAGTCAATGACGCGGCGATCTTCTTCAGTGTTCAGCGCTCGGCGCTCAGCGTTCAGCATTCAGCGTTCAGCTCGCAGTGTTCACTGTATTTTCATTAATATTTTATTGCTTAATTCCTTTTGTTATGCTGATTATGCCGACGCAGAGCGAACACTGAACAAATGAGGCTGTGCTGTTCATGGGAAAACGGCTCGGATCGTTGCATGATTTTCAATAATTTAACAGCGGCTTTCAATATAATCCCTTCGTGGAGCTTTTCTGTGATCTGCTAGCCACACGGCTGTCTCTTTGTTTCCCGGCACAAATGTTAATTTCAGTTTGTCTCGGTAATTTATCATCTTTCTTCTGTTCTTTTCTTTTCCTTTCCAATATATTTTTTTTTTTTTTTTTTTTCGCTTGTGATGTCTTTAAACGCTTTTAATTAAAACCAATGCGCATGTGTAACTTTCTTAAGCAGGCACCCAAAGTCTTCAACTCCGTTTATTTTCTGTTTTTATTTCTGTATTTTTTTTTTTTGTGTTTTTTGCTTTTTGGTCTAGTCGAAGCCGTTGCTTTGAACTTGGCCGACAGGCGCGTTTGTTAAATGATTGATGTGGTATTAATTTTAATAAACGTTTCTCGTTCCTCGCCTCCATCAATATGCAGATCCGGAGAAGAACGAGACCGAAACCAAAGCCCCAGAGACTGGAGACCAAAGACTGAAGACTAAAGACTGAAGACTGGAGACCAGGGGCCAGTTTGTATTATATGTGGAGGAGCCAGCCCGTTTCGTTCTGCGGTTTGTTGGCAAATACATTTTTTATGGGCACACGCAGTTGCGTGGCGTCTGCACTTAGGGGCGGATGGGACCCCCAAAGGGGGCGGGGCCGCGGTGGCCAGGGGCTGCAGATTGCCACTGCCTCAATCACATTGCGCCCATTTGGCGTTGCTGACTCTATTAAAAGTGTCATGCGATTCATGCAAATTCGTAATGGGGGGAAAATTCTAAGATTCCTTTATACCAATATGCCACCTAATAACTTCCAGTTGGAAAACATATTTGAATGGGTAATTGATTTAAAGGGTTTCAGAGATTGTGATTATGTTTTGGGATTAGAAATTAGATCAATTATGAGTTAGCAAATATTATTTATTTATTTATTTATTTTGTAAGACAATAAATATTTTTACTGCTATTGAAATGTGTCTGTAAATCTTTTACCAACTCTTTGTTTTATCCTTAACCTTTCATTTATAATATAACAAATTTCGCAGTGCTTTGGCTAGCCTTTTAATGGAAAACTTTTAAACTGAACCTTGGAACCTGCGAAATACTTAATCCACTGATCTAGCCGCTGACCTTTTGCTTCGAATTACATAGGCTTACCCCAATATTATATGTTGTGGCAATAGAGTAGTTTGCATAATCTGCTAATTGAAATCCGAATTGAAATCGAGAGCAGAGGCAAAATGCCCAGAGGAGCCGGCCAAAACGATCATTAGCGGAAATCTGTCTTAGTTTTCGGGCCAGATCAAAGGCCGGTCGAGATTGATGAGCGAATTTTGGATCGGGGCCAGAAGATCATTATGAACGCTGATGCGTTTTAGCCTTTAAGTGTTTGCTTCCGCCGTCTGATAAGCGAAACACAATGGGCTCTGTGAGTCAAGAAGTCAGCGTGGAAATACGATCTCAGGAGTTTGCCAAAAAACAAAAAAAAAAAAACAACAAAATACCTAACAAAATAATAGAAGAGGAAAAAGTATAATCCCATAGTTGGCCCAGAATGATTCCATCGTTAGCTTCACACCTCAAGTGAGCCTGAATAATTGATTTCAAACCGAGAAACGGCGCCTACCTGGTATTTATCTGTATCTGTATCTGCAGCTATGTATCTGCGGCCCATACCGTGAAATCCGTTGGCACACAGAAAAATCGGGTCTGAACGAGCCGCATCCAATCGATTTGCCAGCCCATCTATGCCGTATTCCCGCTCCTCGGCATTAGAACCAAACTGCCAACTTCAAATTTCAAACTCGCCCGGCGATGATGAGTGGCAATCATCGAACTGAAGGAAAAAGGGATTCCAGCTGAGCGGCTGACAAAAGGTGTGCGCTACTGTGAATCCCTCGGATGCGAATCGAAATCCGGATGCGAGTGCGAGTGCGAATCCGCGGCGTCTGTTGTCATTGTTTGTTTATGGCTGTTTTTATTGTCAATGCTAATGCCGTGTAAGTGGTTGATTTGTCCGATATGCGGGACAATTGGTAGAGCAAGCAAAAAAGTGCTGACATTAAATGGCAGTTTCTGAGAGCACAGTATCGATGAGATACTAACCATTAATATGGGGAAACTAAATACGATAATATCTAAGTTATGGTTTATAAAGATAATATTGGTAGCACATTAAAAAAAGGAACTCTCCTTCAAAAATTATAAAATAATATTCTATAAGATGTACCCCTAAAAAAGTATCAATAAGATACTTTTCATAGAACAACTAGACTTCACTACGTTCATTATGCTACGTTCGTTATGCTGAAGTGTTCAAGTATCTGTGGGATGCATTCAAAAATGCCTGCCAGCCAGTTGTCCGCAATGAGTTCACATGTGTATCTGTGAAATGCTTCGGGCGATATTCTACAACGATCTCTTTGAAATATTTTGCTAACTCAAGAGTGGGTGTAATTAGAGACACCTTGTGTTTCTTTTTTGTTTTGGGTGTACAGATTTGGGGCAGCATAAATTATTAAATAAAGTGAGCTAACCTCTATGTCTTTTTATATTTTCTTTGAAATTTATACGGCAATTCAAAAAAATACATTTTAAATGAAGCGAATTATTTTGTGAAATTTCTTAATTTGATAAAATATATTTTATAATATTATGAATATTTACGTTTGAATTCTGATTGATATTTGATTAGTTTATACTGTGATAATAAGATCTATAGATTTTATGAAGTTACTTGTTCAGAAATTGTATCTAAAGTAATAATAAGTGCGCATAATTGCATCTTTAATCGTATTTATCCTGTAGTGCATCTAAGGGGTAAGTATCTATGTTCTTTTAGAGTCTGGGATTGATTAATACACCAGATGGCTGGTAATTGTGTGAAAAGTGATGGTAAGTATGTTCATAATTGCCAAGTGAGATGCACTTCGATAAGAGCATCTGGATTGACCTATCTGCGAGATACGTATCTTGATACGTATCTACGGACTCCGATTCGGAATTGGGTTTTGGGTTTGGGTTTGGGTTTGGGTTTGGGTTTGGGTTTGGGCTTACCGGATTAACTTGTGGCTTCTGCAAGTGTGTGGCGATGTTGCTGATGTTCATACCCATGGCCGGAATTTGGGAGCCGTATAGCTGACCGGCGGTCGGTGTCATGTCCGTTAGCATATTTGCACTGGATGTTGCCGCGGCTGCCGCTGATGTTGCTGCTGCAGTTGCAGTTGCAGTTGCAGATGCAGTTGTCGCTGCTGCTGCTGCTGTCAATTTGAGGCGCACAATGATGGTGTCTTTTTCTCTTGGCGACTCGCTTTGTTTTCCAGCCACTTAAAAACGGTTCTCACACAATGGTTTTAAGGCAACTGTTTCGGGTTCGGTTTTGTTTTGCTTTCTTTTGTATTCTATCTATTTTTTTCTTTATGTATTTTTTTGTGGCTATTGTTGCAGGACAGGCTCACTGGTTTGGAGTATAGGAGGAAGATATAAAGGACATGGACATGGATTGGCAAGCACAGCACAGCACAGCACAGCACAAGCACACACGCACTCAGAAAAAAAGCAAAGTGGGCAAACCGCTAAGGGATTAGCATTAGCATTTGGCCCAACGCCCAGATATCCGTATCTACGAGTATAATCTCTATCTGTATCTGTATCTGTATCTTTCTCGAGTCCGTCGGCGTTGCACTTTTCCCACTCGGCCGTCGGCTGATGTTTGCTGATGTTTGCTCTTCAGAGTTGCAATGTTCCACTGCTCTTATTGTCACTGGTTATTGTGCTTACTTATTATATATATGCATATTATTTTTAAATATTTTTTTTTTGTTTTGTTTAAGGAACACAGGCAAAAAAAGAAATGTAAGCGAAGAAATTAAAGGAATCTCGAACCAAAAATGCACAGTTGTTGTTTGCTTTAGCTTGTCTGCTGGTTGGCTTGTTTATGGTTTGTTTATGCTTTTGTTTGTTGCTGCTTGGTTTGTTTATTTGTTTGTTTGTTTGTTTGTTGGCTTGTTGATTTGTTTGTTTGGTGACAGGAGGCGCCTGCCAACGGAAAAAAAGTGTCGCTGCTGTATCCGCGCCAAAAGTAACGCCGTCGTCGCTGATCGTTCAAAGGCTTGCAACTGTTTCACGCGAACAAAAAGCTTGGCTAAATGTCGCCGCTGCCGCCGCCGCTGCCTCGGTCGCTGCCTACGCCGGCGTCGCAGCAGCAGCGGTGGAAGCGAGATAGCCTGCACACTCGTGCATTTCGTATTTTTTACTTCATTTTGGGGTTAGCATGTTGGATGCTTTCACCAGTGGAGCGAAAGAGATGGTCGTACAGACAACACAGTTCAGCAGAGACTAGAGTGCCAACCACCACCAGGGGGGTAAAAGATACGCCACCACCACCACCACTATCACCACCGCCGCTCGCACACACACGCGCACACACACTAACACTCTTCCGCTTTGGTGGTGCCTTTGCCTACAGTTTCATTCATAAAAACCCCGGCTGGTTCGGAAAACCAGTTCCCGGAGCTCAGCCCCCTCTATATGAACGCTTTGGCCAATGGCAGATCGGTCGGGCCTAACCTATAATTAGAGCGATGGCCGCTGTGCGAGCGAGATGGCCGACGCAACACGGACACGTGCCTCGTGCCATCTCCCTCGCACGCTTTTCCTTCGCCACTCGCATTTCCATCGCGTGCCTCGCGTGGAAAACTGAAAACAAATGCAGCAGCAGGCAACTATGTTCAATTAAATGTTTCGCCAAATGTTGTTTTCCGAGAATTCCCTTAAAAAATAGCCCAAAAAAGGGTTCAAAAAAGGCATAGAAAAGGGTATAAAAAAAAGGTATAGAGTACATAAAAACAATACATATATGTAAAAAACCAAAATAAAAATCCACGCAAAATGACAAATTGATTTCCATTTCGACTTTTCGGGCTTATCGGCCTCAGTTATCAGGGCTCAAACGAAAGGGAGTCAAAAGGGGAGTGGCCGTGTTTGTGCCCTGAAACAACCGAATTAGGTAAAGGGAAAAGTGGTCAGCTATTTGGAAAGTATGGAAACTGGACCGCGCAAATATGAAAGGAAAGTAAGGCCCAATGAACTTCTAACACCCGAGCTTTGCCCCCAAAAGTAGACTAGCTTTGCCTTTGCTCTTAAGCTAATCAAAATTAATATGTTTATAAAAAATTACTATTGAAGATAATACAAATATTTATTATTTTTTCAAGAGCTGATTGCGAAATGATTTTTTGCGCCTTTTCAAGATATTTTTTTTAAGAGATTCGAAAATTTTTAAGCCAAGCTGTTAAAAGCAAAAAAAAATATTAAGTATACGCAAAATTACTGTTGTTTTTAGGGTTTACTTTACAAAGGCCAATTTCAATAAGGAAATGTGCTGAATTTATTTGTACACCTTCGGGACAGAACGATCAGTGCTTATTGAAAATATTTAGATCCAAAATTGGGAGCACTCAATCAAGATTTCGGGGAGTTAGCCTAGATTAGCCCGTGCCACTTAAGCCTGCCACAGCTGGAAGCTGCCGCTCGAACTGTTGCATTTCTGGGCTGCAGCTGAGAGGCCGGCTAATTGAACCACACCCCCCGTACCGCCCCGCCCCTCCCCTTCCCTTCCCTTGCCTTTTCTCAGCGCTCCGCTTCTGGCCGGCTTATGCAAACAGAACGCCCAGGCAGCCGAAAAACGCCAGCCCCTGAAAAGCTGAAAAGTCCAACTACCACGGCGGACTGTCGATGGAGGTGGATGAAGTGGATGATGTGGACGAAGCGGATGAAACGGATGAAGTGGATGATGTGGATGAAGTGTGCCCAGCACAAGTCGCCTGACCGCGGGAAACTCTCTGCACAGCGGGAAAACAAATCGGAAGCGAATCCTTAGGATGGCTCTCAAATTGGGAAAGAACCTCAATAGATTTTATAATCTAAAAAATATTTTAATAAAATCTAAAAAGGTATTAAATGATCAGTTAGGGGTTTTTATATAAATATTATATTTTATTATAAATAATGCATTTGCCATTTCTTGAATCAAGTTTTTTATAGGAAATTTGTGAAGAAATATTTTATCTAAGTTGAATATTTATTTTAAAAACCAAAAAAAAAATATTGAATCATACAATCAAAATATGGAAATAAATTTAAAAGTCCTTAAAAAATAAGTTATAGTTTCAAAAAGAGTTTGTATTAATATCTGTAAAACAATGGTTTGAATTTATTTATAATATTTTTAAGAGTAAACTCATTTTATATATTCCCTATGTTTGCTCAATCATTTTTGCTATTTTTTGCCAAAGGTAATCCAAGTCTTTTGCAGTGTTTTAGGAAACTAGGGCTTCTGGTTTCTTGCAGCAACTGGGAGACTAGAGGCCCGGACTCACGATCCTGCTGCAGGACAAATGCAACACATTAAGCGGTGGGCGGAGGTGGTTGGGTGGGCGAAGTTGGATGGGTGGGCGTTAGGCGGGTTGGAAGGAGTGGGCGGTACCGCGGGGGATGGGCGGTTGGTCGATTGGGCGGATGGGTTGGCCGATGGATGGTCGCCGGGCAAGGCCAAAGCGACTTCCTGACTCCTTTCGGCCATGTAGTTGCGGTTCGGAGCTCATCAGCTGGGCAAACTGATAAGGCTGACTGATTGCATGGGGCATCCAGCCACCGATTTTCCTCCACTGCCCCCCGTTTCCTTTGCCCCGTGGGAAACTGCGAGTTTCCTTCTCTCTTTCGCCGAGACTCGTTTGAGCGAATCAGCTTTCCGCACTGGAGCTTTCCGTCTCTTTTCGCCGACGTTTTGCATCTCTTTCTGGCGCAGAGGGTGGTCTGCCACGCATTTTCCCACCGCTTTTCCCCCAGCTTTCCCAGCTTGTGGGAGGTTACCTCTCGGCATTGTTGCCTTTTTTGAGTGGCTCTGATTGCCTCACATCAACGCGATACTTGAGTGTGTGTGTGTGTGTGTGTGTGAGTGTGAGTGGGGGGACAGTGAAGATTAGTTAAGGGGGATAGAAGTAATAATCACTAAATTAGGTTTTTGTGTTCGCCTTAAGATCTTGTATAATAACTTAATACTTGCAACAAAAACGAAGATCAAATTGAGGTATTAAATATTCAAACCCTATTTTAAACCCTTGATATTTTACATTTACAATTTTTTTTGCTTAAGTTTTTTGCCTCCAAAAGATAGATAAGTAGTACCTTTAATAATTGCTTACTCTCTTAAGCTTCTTGTTGATTTTCCCTGTGAGTTTTCTTCGGCTTCGAGCACGACTTTATTTACGATTTTATTAATTCAATGCACGCACTGCACGAAATCGTCGGCGTTCTATTTCTGCTCGGTGCTTCTGACTCCCTCGGCAATTTTCCCAACTTCATTGTGGGCGTGGCCCATTTGCGGGGAGGTCCTCGACGAGGTCCTGGCGATGATTTGCACTTTCCTTCATTGTGCCTGTCAACAATTATAATGACACTCTTATTGTCAGCCATTCGAGACTCGTTGCTTCGCTTAATTAAACCATTTTGCAATTTCGCAAAAGTTCTGGCTGCCACGCCCCCCGCCGCCTGAATGGTCCTCGATGAAGTCGCGACTTTTATGCATTTAATTAAAAATTAAATTTTTAATTGCACCAGCGAGTCAGGGAGTTTGTTGTTCCTTTTTATTTTTATTTTTTCTTTTTTGCTGCTTTCCTTTCATTTTATTGCGCTTTTTAATTAAATTGTTTGCAACACCCACGAGTGACAGGCGACGACAGTAGCGCTCGAAATGATGATGATCACGACAATGGATTTAGTTTTGAGGTTTACTCAACTGATGACTTTCCCACCGCCGATGTGTTTCAATTAAAACTCGCTCAAATTGATTAGCATATCGCCGGATCGCCGCGTTGATATAATTTCTGGCGAATAAATTAGCCAAAATTGTTCGAAAATAACTAATTAATGGGTTTTAGGATCGACACATATTCGTTTGAATTTTTTGTGGTTTTGATTACTCATTGTTAAGGTTTTATTCAGGAAATTCCATTATAGTTTATTTTCTAGATGGTAAAATAATGTATTTTGTATTTCAAGTGCAATTGTTCTATGGAAAACTTTTAGTAAAATGAGACCATTAGTGAAAAAGTCCAGCAATTCGGCGACTATTTATTTGGTGGTTGACTTCCCGGCCGAATAAAATGGATTTCATTGCGAACGTATTGCGGGCATAAAATAAAAGTAACCCCCGAATGTGCGGCGACTAAAACTACTCGAGGCTATTTTACGGATATCAAAATACGATTCAGACAAATCCAGAAGAGCAGGGGGTGGCCACCAGAGAGAGAGAGGGGGAGGAAAGGGGGTGGAAGGGGGGGGCGTGGGGCAACAACCAAACCCCTGGGCTCATGAATGCGAATGTAAATGTTGTTGGCAACGCGGTCGAAGTTGTTTCTGTGGTTGTTGCCGTTTGTCTCTGGTGCTTGAGTAAAAGTACAAGTTATGCGTCAAAACAACGAAAGCAGCCAAGAGCAAGAGGATATAGCCAACAGAAGGAGGAGGGGGAGGAGGGAAAGGAGGAGGAAGGAGAAGGAAGGAGAAGGTTGAGGAGTCCAAGTTCGTTCCTCTAAATTGCTAGGCGAGGGCGTGGCCCAGAATCGTAAATCACTTTGAAGTGGGTCGTAGACGTCCGAGCTGCGTTCCAGACAACAAAAAGCAACAGCAGCAGACACTGAACCACGAACCACGAAACCTCCCCTTCCCTTCCCCCTTTTTAACCACTATCCCTGCCCCTTGGTAAAAAAAAAAACAGAAAAAAAAAAACAGAAACCCCTCTCGTAAACCCCACATAACCCCCTTTTTTTAGCTCGATGCCCCGCGGCGACAGGAAAAAGCACGCTAGGCGCTGCCAAAGCTGCTTATCCTGACACACGGTAGCCGTTAAGTGTCCAAGTCAACAAAATAAAAAGCAACAAAAACAAAAAAAGAAAAGTAAAAAAAAAAAAAAAACAACAGGCAGCGGAAGGAAGCAAAGATAATGCCTCGTTCGGGATCGATCGGTGCTGGAACAGACAAACTGAACGGAACGGAACGGGGTTGCCGGTTGCAAATCAATCAGCAAATTTATTGATATCACTCATCACCCTAAAAGAGG